CCCCCCCCCCCCCCCCGCCGCGCGTGCGCTGCTCCTCCACCGGGCGCCCTCGCTCGCCCCGCCGGCCGGGCCGTGACGCGATGCAGTTCTCCTCCGCCGCTGCCGCCATCACCCCGAACCCCAGCATCACCTCCTCCGGTGTCGTCATCGCCGACTCCAACCTGCTGGTCAAGGATGAGGCCGCCGTCTTCGACAACCCGGAGCTGGCCCACATCGAGAACCGCGAGACCGTCCGCCTGAACCTCTTCCAGTCGGTCAACAACGCCCTGTCCACCGCCCTGGAGACCGACGAGTCGGCCATCATCTTCGGCGAGGACGTCCAGTTCGGCGGTGTCTTCCGCTGCACCATCGACCTGGCTGACAAGTTCGGTGCGTCCTCCCCCCCCCTCCCTTGGCCGCTGTCGGGGCTGCCGTCCCCTGCCCCTGCCTCCGCGGCTCCCCCGCGCCCCACCTCCGCCCTCCCTCTCTCGCGCTCGCCTCTTCTGCTAACACGCGCCACCGCGGCTCCCGTGCCCGCCCGGGGTCCCCTCAGGCAAGGACCGTGTCTTCAACACCCCCCTCTGTGAGCAGGGTATCGCCGGCTTCGGTATCGGTGCCGCCGCCATGGGTGCCACCGCCATCGCCGAGATCCAGTTCGCCGATTACATCTTCCCCGCCTTCGACCAGGTGCGCTCCAGCCGGCCGGCCGGCCGGCTTGCCTCCCTCCCCCTCCCCTTCGGCCGATGCCCCGCCATCGGCGGCCGCCTCGCTGCCCCCCCCCCCGCCAGGGCTCCCGTGCTCACATGTGTCTGCCTCCTTCCCCCCCTCCCCCCCCCACGCGCCCTTTTCCCCGCCCTGCGCGCCCTCCCCAGCTCGTCAACGAGGCCGCCAAGTACCGCTACCGCTCCGGTGGCATGTTCGACGTCGGTGGCCTGACCGTGCGCACCCCCTGCGGTGCCATCGGCCACGGTGGCCACTACCACTCCCAGTCGCCGGAGGCCTTCTTCACCCACTGCGCCGGTATCAAGGTTGTCATGCCTCGCAGCCCCATCCAGACCAAGGGTCTCCTGCTGGCTGCCATCCGTGACAAGAACCCGGTTGTCTTCCTGGAGCCCAAGCTCCTGTACCGCGCGGCCGTCGAGCCGGTCCCGGTGGCCGACTACGAGCTCCCCCTCGGCAAGGCCGAGGTCCTGCGCAAGGGCAAGGATGTCACCGTCGTCGGCTGGGGCTCCCAGATGTACGTGCTCGAGGCGGCCGCCGACATGGCCCGCGAGCAGCTCGGTGTCGAGGTCGAGCTCATCGATCTGCGCACCATCTCCCCCTGGGACGTGGACACCATCGAGGCGTCCGTCAACAAGACCGGCCGTCTGATCGTCTCGCACGAGGCCCCGCTCACCAGCGGCTTCGCCGCCGAGATCTCCTCCACCATCCTGGAGCGCTGGTATGTGGTTCTCTCTCTCTCTCTCTCTCTCTCTCTCTCGCTCTCTGTCTCCCCCGCCCGCTCGGCTGTGTTGTGGCGCCGTGCCTTTTGCGTCTGCCGTGTGCCTCCCCTGACCCGGTGTCCTTGTCTTGCTGCCCGTCCCCCCCCCTCTCCTTCTGCCTCCTTTCGCGGGATGCCGCGCGCGCGATGTCGGCCAGCTTCCTGCGCCTCGAGGCCCCGATCCAGCGTGTCTGCGGCTGGGACACCCCCTTCCCGCTCATCTTCGAGCCCTACTACGTCCCGGACAAGCTCCGCAACTTCGAGGCCATCAAGAAGGTCATGGACTTCTAAGCACGCGCGAACGTCAGCGCAGTTGCGCGCCCCGCCCCCCCTCCCCCCATCTTCCCTTCTCTTTTCCCCCTTCGTTTTATGCGTCGCGCCTCCTCCTTCACACCCCCCCCCCCGTGTACCAATTACTACATGCACACTCGCACATACACACGTACATGGTCTTTCTTCCCTCTCGCCCCCTTTCCCCTCTCTCTTTATTTCAGTGTGTGGGGGGGGGGCATACACACATGCGCTTCCACGGATCTACGTGCACGCCTGTACAGCAGCAGGGCGGGGCTCGCCTTTCCGTCAGCCGGGACAGGCTCCGGGGCCCGAGGTGTGGGCCCGCAGGGGCCGGCCGGCCGGCCAAAGCCGTGCGGCGGTGCCCAGCGCCAGGGGAGCCGCGGCCCATCTCATGCTTGCTGTCGCCGCCGCCGCCGCCGCCGCCGCCGCTCTCCCCGCACGCGCGTCTGCCACTCTCACTTGCCGTGGCCCGGGGCCTTTCCAGAAGCCGGAGACCCTGGAGCGAGCGGCCACCCGCACGGGGACCGGGCCAGCGAGCACCGCACGCAGCCAGGGGCGGTGGGGGCGGAGCCAGAGGTGCATGAAGAAGAGGCCGAGAAAGGCCCACACGCCGGGCGGCCGGGGCTACGGGGCGGAGGGCGCAGCACAGGCTCGGCAGGGTGGGGCGGGCCGGCGGTCAGTTGGCACTAGGCGCCCTGCCGGCGGGCGCACCCGTGGTGCTCGGAAAACACCATTCACTGGGACCTAGGGGGTCAGGCTTCCGGCGG